TTTTTTTCCCAGAACCGGGGATTGAACTCAGGCCCTTAGCGCTTGCCAGGGAAGCACTTATCCTACTGAGCCATCTCCCTGGCTTCAGCCCACTCTTGAAGGCAGGGCTGGCGCAGCTTGGGCCAGGGATCGAGCCGTGGTCCCCTGAGCCTGCCTAAGTTTGCCTAAGCAGGTGCTTTAGACCGCTGAGCTATCTCCCTGGCTCCAGTACATTATTTCTTTATACCTCTTTCCCTTTAGACTTGCTCTTCATAGGTACAGACAACTTAATCACCTTTGATACTCAGCAAAAAAACCGAATGTCATGATTTACAACTTTGCCATGTTGGTTAGCATTTCTTTTGGTATATACACTATTATACTTTTTCCATCTCTTAAACAGCTATGAGGCATTCTTCTTCACCTTTAGTTAGTATAATCCCACTCAACTCACAAAGGGCCTACAGCACCCACTGTGTGCTAGGTGTTGTGGTAGGCACTAGGAATGTAAAAATGAATATCTGCCCCTGCTGGGAACGAGCTCACAGTGGAGGGAGAATACAGAGAAACAGATAATTTATCACAATTTCAGCAAGCGCCAAATGTGTTAGATGCTATGATGTTGGGAAACCTGGTGTTTTGAGGGAAAACATGCAAGTTACAACTCACCTGGTTGGTTGGTTGGTGTGTGGGTGGTGGGTGGATGTTGGAGATTTCCCAGAGTCAGTGCTCTGTGTTATCTTGAGAAAGGAAAGAGACAAAATAAGATATTCTGGAGAAACTAGGTTGTTTCATCTGACTGGACTAAGGGTAGGACTTGAGCAGGGGAAAAGTAGCTTAGACTAGACCTACAGGCAGGGACCAGACTGTGAAGGACAGAATACTATATATACTCTGAAGAACTTTAAATTTTATCCTGGAAGCACTAGAGAAACCACGAAAGAATTTTGAGTTTCGGTTAGATAGAGGTTTATATATATAAACCCTTTTATAGCCCCTGTGCTTCCTCCTGTTCTCTGCCTGCCTGCCCCTCCCTCCCTCTCCCTCCCCTCCCCTCTCCCCCTCCCTTCTCTTCCCTCCCCCTCCCTTGGCTTCCCTCCCCTCTCCTCCTCCCCCTCCCCTTTCCTCTGTGGAAAAGGAAGATGAAGTAAACCTGCTGTATCACTCCTGCTGGAATTCTGTGTGTTGTGTTACTGGTTTAATTCTCAATGGATCTGTCTTACTAATGTACTGTTCTAAACTTGGTGTTATATCTTATTGAACTTTGGTCTCCTGGGATACCTAAAAGTTTCTAATGAGTTACAAGAGTCAAAATACAGCTGGGTGTGATGGTGCGTGCTAGTAGTCACAGCACTCTTGGAGCTGAGGTCAGCCTGGGCAACTTAGCCATTTAGTGAACCTGGTCTCAACATAAAAATATAGGGCCAGCCTGATAGCTCAGCGAACTAAAGTGCCTGCTTTGGCAGAGCACAGCGGCCAGGATTTGATCCTGGTGAGCAACGCTGGCCCCACCCCCGTGGCACGCTGAGACAGCATGTGAGACAGGGCATGGTGGCATGTGCCTGTAATCCCAGCACTTGTGAGGCTGAAAACAGGAGAATCACTATGAGTCTGATCTATGTAGTGAGACCGTGTAGAACCTGTAGACCTTGTCCTAAATACAGAAAAAATAAAATAAAATAAATAAAAATATAAAATAAAAGGGGTAGGGATGCAGCTCAGTACAAAGGCCATTACAAAAAAGAAAAAAAAAAAAACCTGTCAAGTTAGAAGTCTATGTCAGGTATGGTGGTGCACATGTGTAATCCCAGCATTCAGGAAGCTGAGGCAGGAGAATCACCTTGAATTAGAGGCCAGCCTGGGCTACAAAAGCAAGTTCAAGGCCAGCCTTCACTAAAGTGCGAGACATTGTCTCAAAAACAAAAACAAACAAAAAGTGTAGCATCTTTTTGGCAATTTCTTTGTTAAAGATGGTGTCAAATTCTTGATAAGCCATAAAAAATTAATTTCATGATTAATTCTTGATCATAAATTACTTAGTATTATGTATGAGATTCTAAATTGGTTTCTAAAATCATTTTAGAATAGGCAGACCTTTGTAAATTAAACTGTAAGTTTGAGGTTTCCGTGAGGTTTCACAAAATCTATGCTTTTTGTCTCTGAGTAAAATTGTCCACTACCCGTGTGTTTAGCTTCAGCCAATATACCTTACTGGTCTTAATTTTCTGCATCAAAATATTATGCTTGACTAGATGATTCCTGGTCTTCTAGCTTATGGCTTTATGCCCTGCGTCTAACACTTTTCTCTGAATTATTCTACATGCAGTGCTCACATGGTCTTCTGAAGAAGCCATGGGTAGCTGCTGTAGCTGTCCAGATAAAGACGCTGTCCCGGACAACCATCGGAACAAGTTTAAGGTGAGTAGAGCCACTTAGCCGACGGCTCACTGCCTGCTTTATGTGCTCCTTTTGCTTTACGGCTCACCTCTTTACTCTTATCACCACGCTCTTATGTTTCCCTTTGTCCACTCTATCTTTGTCTTATATTACTCCATTTTTTTATTACTTTAATGAGATACTTATAAAGAAAAGAAGTTTACTTAGCTATAGTTTTGGGCTACCTGCCTGCCTGCCTTAAAGTAACATTTTCTGGAAGTGTGAGCAGCACAGCACTAGCTCTGACTAAAGTCCCCTGTGACTGTGTCACCTCATGTCCCGCGTTGTCGTGGGGATTGATATCACTGAGGGGGGTGCATGTGGAAAGGAAGACCACGTTGGAAGATGGGAAGCTGAAGACTTACTGCAGACTCAGTGGGGTCCCACCAGAGCTGCGGTCAGCCCTTTTCAAGGCACACCCCGGTAGCCTGTGGGCTGGTTACTCTAAACATGGCATTTAAAAAATAAAAGCACTGCCGTACCAAGGACCAAAGCCTCCAACGCATGAATCCTTGCGGGGGCCTCAAACTTTCCATGTGGCCTTTTATATCCAGTTAACTAAAGAGTTCTGCCAATGTTTTCCTTAAAGTAACATTTTTTTATGTGCCGTTCCAGGCTCATCACCACCTGTGTTAATCAGCTTTCTTTTTTTACTCAAATACCTAAATTCAAGTGGCTGATGCAGACATTGAGTCTTATTTGGACTCACAACTTTGTGGGTGTCAGTCTGTGAACCACTGGCTGCTTTGCATTCGGGCTGTGGTGAGAATGGAAGTTGGTGGTGAAGCAGAAGGGTAAGAGGAAAGGGCCAGGCTGCCTACCCACTTGGAGGTATGCCCTGTGGACCAGAAGACCTCCCGCTGGGCCCCTCTTAAAGGTCCATCTCAGGGTGCTACAGGTTGGGAACAGGGACTTGAACACATAGCCTTTGGGGACACCACAGACCCAAACGATGATCCTGCATTTCAGTCTTTACCTGCACGCATGCCCGTGTGACTTGGTAACTGTACTGTTTCCAGTCATGCTGTCATCCATCTTGTACTTGCATTAATCTTTTATTGTTCACTGACCTGACCTGTTTGCTTAAACTCCTGTGGTATTCTGTTAGCTGTAGGCTAAACATTCCCGCAACTGTTTAGTGTCTCTTGCAACTTGACCTCAGTCTCCTATCAGTCATAACTCTGGATCTCCTACACTCTGAGGATTTTCCTGCAATCCTAGAGTAGGTCACACCCTTGTTATTTATAGCTTTGAAGCCTTCAGCTGGGTACATTATCACTACACCTTAATTCCATTTTGTACAGAGACACCCTCAATGTAGGACTACTATGAGGATTAAATGAGAAAAACACATGGAAAACACTTTGCCCCATTCCAGAGGAATGATAATGTTTGCATAAATGTTATCTGTTAGTCTTGGGGCGTTTTCTGAAGCTTAGCAGTACAGAGCTGTTCATAAGTGAACTTTAGGGTGCCGGGGAGATAGCTCAGTAGAATAAGTGCTTCCCTGGCAAGCACACGGGGCTAAGTTCAATCCCCAGTTCTGCCAAAAAGAAACAAACATTAGTGAACTTTGTGTCTGTCTTATTTTGGTCCCTTGGAAAGGAATCTCCTGTGCTGTCTAGCAGTGTGTCCGCGTGTGATGGTTTCCATCTCCTACCAACAGGTTTTCCTGTTATTTGATTTCTCAGTTTATATATACTCAGGTCCAGTGGAACTTTCATATACTCCACTTACATGAAGTTGTCTCCCATGACAACTTGTGTGACAGTTGCTCTTTTCCATAGCCTCTGTTGCGCTTGTCAGTTAACCACACACAGGGCTGTGGGTCAGCCTTGTTCCTGTATCTTTTTCCCACTGAGAAGGAATATTCTGTGCAGTTAAGAACTACACACATGAGCAAATGACTGAGCCACACTGCAGCAGCGCCTTCCTGCCAAGCTGGTGATGTGCGTGTCTGACTGCTCACTTTAGGTCATTAACGTGGATGATGATGGGAATGAGTTGGGCTCTGGCATCATGGAACTTACAGACACAGAGCTGATTTTGTACACACGCAAGCGCGACTCGGTCAAATGGCACTACCTCTGCCTGCGGCGCTATGGCTATGACTCCAACCTCTTCTCTTTTGAAAGTGGCCGAAGGTGTCAAACTGGACAGGGTAGGTGGAGCCTCTTTTTAACGAACAACTGTTAGCACATTTGAAATAGTATTTGTTGTTGTTATTATTCTCTGTGTAGTGTTTAACTTACTAGTAACATTTCTCCTGAAAGAAAGTAGATTAAGGGACCAGGGAGATAGCTCAGTAGAATAAGCACATGCCTGGCAAGTGCAAGGACCCGAGTTCAATCCCCAGTACTGCAAAAAAAAAAAAAAAAAGAAGGAAAGATTAAGCAAAACTGTAATAATAACAGATATATTTATTTTTCTTCAAGCATTTATGAACCATATTTTCTATGTCAGAATTTTTTGACTCTTGTTAAACTTTAGACTTTCAGTAAATGCTTGTTCTGCTAAAGTGACTATTATTTTACCTTGGGGAGAGAACTAAATTTTGGAATCAAATAGAACACAGTTTGATGTTTTGTTTTGTTTTCTCTTTGTTACTTACTGCTTGAATGTCGTTGGCAAGTCAGTAAAGTGGTAATGCCTTGTAATACCTATCTTAGAGTATTGTGATAATTAAACAAGATAATGGCTGTAAAACTTTTCTAAGAGTTCCCTTTAAAGGATAAATGGTTGCCTTGTTGATGGCAAGGTGGCTCCCCCTGCTGTTAAAAACAAGATACATGAAAAAACAAAACAAAAATAACAGACAGGAGTTAAGTGTACAAATTTTGCTTTGTTTTGTGCCATGTCCTTTAGACAAAGGAAAATTATTCTGTAACTTTTCTTTAGAATTTGTGTTTTTAAACAGAATATCATTAACTTATTAGGCTTATCTTACTATTGTCACAATAGTACTTGATAATTTTGTTCTTCAGCGTGTATTCTTAGAGCTTTTGTAAAGGTGTGGTTGCTACTTTTCTCTTTTGGTTTATATTTATAGGAATCTTTGCCTTTAAGTGTGCCCGTGCAGAAGAATTATTTAACATGTTGCAAGAGATTATGCAAAATAATAGTATAAATGTAGTGGAAGAGCCAGTGGTAGAAAGGAATAATCATCAGACAGAATTGGAGGTCCCCAGGACGCCGCGAACACCTACAAGTAAGTGTGGCTTCCCCTTGTACAGGTTGAGCATCAGTCATTTGTAAGCTATAAATTAGGGGTCTTTATAACATATTTGAAATCACCGTTGACTTAATAGAAGAGTAATGATCATCAGTTTTTTAAAAAATAATTCTTAGTCGTAACCTGGAAACATCTATTATTCCATATCATTTAAACCTTGGTGGAGATAGTACTTTACTATAACTTTTACATGGCTTGTCCAGAACATCTTTCTTGGTCTTTAGATTTGATCGTCACTCACCTTCATCCTCTCTGCCCTGCTCCAGCTCCAGGGTTTGCTGCTCAGAGTTTACCTAACGGATATCCCAGGTACCCCTCATTTGGAGACGCTTCATCTCACCCCTCAAGCAGACATCCGTCCGTGGGGAGCGCTCGCCTGCCCTCCGTTGGTGAAGAATCTACACACCCTTTGCTTGTGGCTGAGGAGCAGGTAAGTGTGTGCCGCCTCCTGGCTGCGCTGTGTGGGGTTTGCAGAGTGCTGCTGTGCTCTGGGTTTTATTCTGTGTGTATTGTAACTCTTCACCTGCGGCCAGGTTATAGCGAGCAGTTAAGGACATGGTGCCTACCTGCTGGCGTGTGCTCAGACGCGCATAGGGAGCAGTGGGGTGGGCTCCTGGGAGAGGGTGCCTGCAGAGTGGGAAGGGTGGGCTGCAGGCAGCCGCAGCCGCAGCCTGCAGTCCACCCCAATGTGTGCCGCTTTTGTAGTTCAGTCTTCAGTCTTTAAAATCAGTGAACAACCAGAAGAAAGTAGATTTTATTGTTAATGTTTTTACAATTTAGTATGCCTGACTCTCCTAGTTTTCACTTGTGGAAAGAAGTATCTGGTTGAACATAATTAATTAAACTTACCTTTTGGAAATCATATGTTCATTGAGCACTGAGGGTTTTTGTGTTTTTAAAGTAAATTTCTAGTTCATCACCTTAACCACTCAGCCACAACTACATTAATTTTTTTTTTGTTCTTTACATAGTGAGCAAGTTATACTGTTTACCATAATTATATTTTACCCAATTTTTTTTCTAATTTTGTTTTCATTTTGAATCTTTAAAATTTTATATAGTCTTTCAAATATTTTTATATTGTCTCTCTAAAATGCCATTGAGCTTTTCTAAATAGTGATAATTTCTTACTAGATAGTATTTATTTTATACCTATACGTTTTATAGAATATTTTACCTGATTGATTGATTGATTTAGAGACAGGGGTTCACTGTGCATTTCAAGCTGGTCTTGAATTCAATTTGTACCCCAGACTGGCCTTATACTTACGGAGATCTTAACTGCGTCAGCCTCCAGAGTGCTGGGATTGTATGTGTGTACTACCACATCTAGCCTATATTTTGACTTGAGACAGTGTCTTAATATGTAGTTCAGGCTGGCCTTGAACTTTTGATCCTCCTTCCTCTGCCAAGCATCTGAAGCATTTGAATGCCATCTCTTTGCTGATGTATGTTCAGATACGTGAAGGGCAACTCAGTAGTGTGAGTAGAGAGAAGAGGTGTGCACCTATAGATTAAGACAGACATGTCAGTCAGTTACCATTGTAATAACCTCCTACAGATCACAGGCTTGTACTATTGTACCCAACTTTATTTATTTATTTATTTATTTATTTATTTATCGGCAGAACCGGGGATTGAACTCAGACCCTTGCGCTTGCCAGGGAAGTGCTTATTCCACTGAGCCATCTCCCCGGCCCCTTTTTAAAATTTTTTTATATTTTTTTAACATTATTTATTTTTGAATAATGTTTTAAATTATCGATGAAAATTTGTAGAACAGCAAAATAATAATTTTTATTTTATTCCTGATTTTTATCAATGTTTTTCATGTTTTACCATCAAATGCTGAATGTTATTTTAAAGTAGTTACTCTTCTTTTTTGGTGGAACTGGGGATTGAACTCAGGCCCTTGTGCTTGCCAGGGAAGCGCTTATTCCACTGAGCCATCTCCCCAGCCTAAAGTAGTTACTCTTCTATCAAATTACGGAGATGTTTTTATATTTCCTTAGCCCCACCTTTTTATTAGTAAAAAATAAGTAAAATTCTAAAGAGTACCTTTAGAGAAAAAGTTAATAAAATTAACTGATGTGGTTTTTGGTATCATTTTGTTTTTTAAAAGTTATTGATTTCTCAGGACAAATCCTGAGGGCATTTCACTGACCTTCTCAGACCAAAAAGCTACAACTCTTGTTGCATAGGTCCTGCTTTACCTTGGTCTTAACCATCCAGCAGAAAAGTATGAAGACGAAATTATAAGAAATAAAGCCATGCTGTTAAGTTGAGCTGTGGGGGACTCAGGTCAATAATTTCTGACATTGCCAGTTAAACAGAAGACCCAATGCTATTATGGGCTACTGGACTCTTTTAGAATATTTTGCTGAGTTTACACACCTATAATATTCAATAACGGAACTTAGAAAAAATGGGGTATACAGATGAATGTCCATTTTGTATCTGTGTATTCAAAGTGGTTGGGATAGATATATAGTTACATTCTGTTAATGAATAGAATGATTCGTTCTAATGGTGTTTGTAAATAGGATCACAAGTCCGCATCTTGTACAGCAATTAACCACTAAGAAGAATATATGCAGTGTATTATTTGTTGAAAAATAAAAAAAAATAAAAAAATAAAAAAAATAAAAGTTATTGATTGAATTCTCTTTCATTTTAGATACATACCTATGTCAATACCACAGGTGTACAAGAAGAGCGGAAAAGCCGCGCTGGTACGCATGTCCCGTTGGAGGCGAGGGTTTCAAATGCCGAGAGCAATACACCCAAAGAAGAACCAAGTAGTATTGAAGACAGAGACCCTCAGATTCTTCTTGAGCCCGAAGGAGTCAAATTTGTTTTAGGACCAACTCCTGTTCAGAAGCAATTAATGGAAAAAGAGAAACTGGAGCAAGTTGGAAGAGACCAAGTTAGTGGAAGTGGTGCAAATAACACAGAATGGGACACTGGCTATGACAGTGATGAGCGAAGAGATGCACCTTCAGTTAACAAACTGGTGTATGAAAATATAAATGGGCTATCTATCCCCAGTGCCTCCGGGGTCAGGCGAGGTCATCTGGCATCCACTAGTACCTCAGATACCCAGAATATCAACAACTCCGCTCAGAGAAGAACTGCATTATTAAACTATGAAAATTTACCATCTTTGCCACCTGTTTGGGAAGCCCGCAAGCTCAGTAGGGATGAAGATGACAGTTTAGGACCAAAGACTCCATCTCTAAATGGCTACCATAATAATCTAGACCCAATGCATAACTATGTAAATACAGAGAATGTAACAGTGCCGGTAAGTGCTCACAAAATAGAGTATTCACGGCGTCGGGACTGTACACCAACAGTCTTTAACTTTGATATCAGACGCCCAAGTTTAGAGCACCGGCAGCTCAATTATATACAGGTTGACTTGGAAGGCGGCAGTGACTCTGACAACCCTCAGACTCCAAAAACACCTACCACTCCCCTTCCACAAACCCCTACAAGGCGCACAGAGCTGTACGCTGTGATAGACATCGAGAGAACTGCTGCTATGTCCAATTTGCAGAAAGCACTGCCACGAGATGATGGTACATCTAGGAAAACTAGACATAATAGTACTGATCTGCCCATGTGAGCCTGGAAAGCATTATGTTGTTTGCACCTTTGTGAAGTTTTTTAAAATGAAGATGCAAATGCTTCATTTTCATTTCTACACTAACTCCTTTTATAGACTGATACTCTTTTTCTGAATACTTCATGTTCATCTTTAAAGGGAATTACTGTAGAGCAGGTACTCCTTAAAGAACACTAATTTCATTATGTACTATTCATTACTGTACAGCAGCATTCCCATTTTCACAGTGCCTATTTAAAATGAGAGTTGAAGTGAATGACATGCTGGTAGATTTTTATTCAATATTTTGGGCTCACGCATATCTTTCATGTCTAAATCATGGTTGGCATTTAAAACTTTTTATAAAGCCTCTTCGTAACACGCTTTGCTAACAGATAATGTAGGCTGTGAAGGTGATGTTTGTAGATCACTGTGCGCAGTACGTGGCCTCCAGCATGGACCACGAGGAATCCTTCATTTGCTCAATTAAAGGCTTTTGAGTTGGGCCAAGACACGTGTGAAGGAGATGAAGATACCACACCTCCTTGTATAACCAGTCAGCTCTTTTGCCTTCAGTGTTACTAGAAAGAATCCTATGTCGTGACTATGGCTTGCTGTTGGTGTGTTGAAAGGTAGGCAGGAGACAAGGTTTTCTGTTTACTCATCTCATGATGTCATTTGAAGGGCATGTCCAGATGTCTTACTCTGAATTGTAGTAGGCTTAAGAATTAGTCTCAGGTCACTTTACCCAAACACATTTGAAAATCTGAACCATGATCTCTTGATGTTTCTATCCTGTAGAGTATTGACAATGCATTGTTTTCTGGAGGCATGTTTTGCTGTTACGTTCCCATTTACCTTCAGATTTTTTCTTTGGTGTTCGGGATGACTTACTGTGTTGCTTAATGTCTTTTTCAATGTAAAATGCTTTGAGTTTGTATATAGTCTTGAAATTGGATTATATGTTCATTGTTACTTAGTTTGCATTTTTATCAAATTATGGTTTTGAAGGTTCATTTGGAACTTGCTGTTATTCTATAACAGGGTTGCCCTTGTCCAGTATTTATTTATATGCTGTTTACTTTCAAGTTGATAAAAAGAACATTCTTTCGATTTTAAATTTCACTTGTGTCCATAGGTGATCTCTTTAGCAGTTGAGGAAAAAAGAAAGCAACCTCCTTTTGACATGCAGTGTTCCCTAAAGGTACTATGTTTCTCTGAGGGCACTCTCCCCAGCACTTGAGCAGGGATTTTCTCCGGCTCCACGGCTACAGTTGTACTGTCCTCGCTAGCATTCTCTTCAGCTCTGCTCTCACTTGTAGCTGGATCTCTGATTATCCCTTGATTTCAGTGGAATATTAATATTGTTGTCAGCATAGCAAGTACAGTGGAAGTCTTGTAGTGAGATTGTGTCTAATTTAGGGTTTATAATGAACCGAATTTCTATAAATTGATGATTCCAGATGTCAAAGCTTTTGGAAAATCAAGAATGTTCCAAATTCCCAAACACTAGAGAGAGTGAAAAGAAGGCTAGGTAACCTTGCAAAATACTGCTATGTCTCTAAATGTAAGGAAGTTTGAAGTTATGATCTATTATACGTGTCTACAGCTACCTAAGCATGAAAAAGTTCAGTCTTAGCTAGTTTATTCAATAACCTAGTTATAGGATAATGAATGCATTAGCAGAATAATAGAGTGGGACCATTATAAAAAATAATTACAAATGTCTTTATCATTTTCTGTGCCGTTGGTTCATTAGCATAGTGAAATTTTCTGCCTGCCCCCCACACTTGGTGCTTACTAAAATGCTCACTGTTCTCTTAAAAAGAGCAGTGGTATAGATGTGCAGTTTCCCTAATACAATTTCCATTTTTTAATGTATTTTCTTTTCTTTTAAGTAGCTTGCTAATTGTGCCAAATTTATGTAATGGTTTTTGTAATGTGGAATAGGAATTGTGACACAACCAGTGCAAAGGGTTTTCCTTGAAATGAGCAGTCACAGCAGAACATGAATCTCCACATGAAAGGGCTGGTATATTTACCCATTTTGGAGGGTGGATATTTTATTCTTCTTTTTCCCTCATCTTTTCCACTTCCAGATTCTAATTAGTTTTTGTACTAATATAATCAGTAAGTTTATGCTTTAAATACTGTGTGCTTTAAAAATGAAAATGGGACCAATCTGTCTGCTAAGAGTTTGGTTTTAGGGTACTAAAAGAATATTATACATATACAACTAGTGTTTATTCTAGTTGTCTTCTGGGTGTCATCTGTGTTCTTATTTCATAAAAAGTAATTCAGAACACTACTTGCCCTTTGCAGAAGTCTAGTAATGGGCATTAAGCTCTGCCTTGGAAGAGTGTACCTATACCTAGGTGCATTTTAGAATGAGATATTTTAATGGCATATAATTATGGCCATATGTCTCAGATTTCCTGAGGTGAACCTAATTTTAGGTACTCGTGTTTTGTTGGTAGATTATGTGATCCCATTATTTGAGTTTGTTTTCCCCCGAAGAGAAGCTTCTTTTCCCCATGTAGATCCTAACAGCATTTATCTCAGATCAGGGTTAGAAGCTGATATGAGTATTACCTGTGTTTTTCTTAGTGTGTTTCATTTCCCAATTTAATATTTTTTTTAAAAAATGAAAATATGGTGCCTTCCCTCCCTCCAGAAGATTGGCAAATAGTTCCTTTTATTTACTGCTGCTGTGGAGTGATGAGATATGCACTTTACTCTTGAAGACTCAGTAAAAAAAGCTTTTCACTTCCCAGTATATCCACAATAGATCGCATTTGGGACGTAAGAAAATTTGCCAAGCAATCTTTGTTTTTATAGATATTAATGTTGACCCTTAGCTCATTGTTGTAAGAATAAGTCAAACTGGTGTTTATTCCCCCTCCCCCAGTCTGTGGCACAGCATATAAAAATGTACCTCAATAATGTTCTATTAAAAATGGGACAGGGGCCTTATGTTTTCATAATTTCCCAACAATGTGCCACCTTGTATTTGCCTCAAGGGAAAAGTTTTAGCGAGCTAAAAAGTATTTCCCAATTTCCCTGTGCTGTTCTTAACCCATAACGCCCAAGTGTTTTGTGCAATGTGTGGTATGTATGTATACATACATACATATATATATATATATATGTATATATATACATATATATGACTCCCATCAGAGACATCAGTGACTGACATATTGGCATCGCATTCCTATTTCTATATATGAGGTATGTGGTCCTAATTACCTTTTCCTGATGTTTGCCAAATTTGAATAAAGGCATTGGTACGAAATTACAGAATGTATAGAAAATGTTTTTGGCTTGAAAAACTAACAATATTTTATGACATAACATGATCTACTCTGCCCAGACCAGCATCCTGTCTTTTTCTTGTTCTGTACATCCCAGTTCCCCATCCCCACTTCCTCATTTTTTTATATAACACAACACTCTTCTGTAGTATCATCACAGTGACAATTCTGTGACAATTGGACAGTGACAGCATGGAAGCAGACTGATAGTAACAGTGCAGTAGTCACCAGTGTGCCACTTTTGCATTAGAAAGTGCAAAATATACATTTTATAAAGGACAAACTTTGTGTTATGTTTTTATTTTCATTACATTGTATAATACTGTAAGATTATTGTATGTCCTAATTTACATTATAAATGTGTTTTTTTCCTACATAAAGGCATAAATATAGCAACTTTGTATAAAGGTAGCTTATTAGATTTTTAATTTTTTTCTTTTATAAAAATTGTTTAACAGTGGGACTACCATTGCCAAATTGTATATGGAATATGAATTTTACCCCCTGTGGCTAATTTCTTTTATAAACATTCCGTACTTCTCCAATAAAAGACAGAAGTGATACTGTACTATGCATAAATTGTATTTTAATGCTGCTTCATATCAGCATTTTACATTTTGGTTTGCATTTCTACTATTGGCAAAACCTAACCACTGTTAACTACAATGCAACCTTGTGTATGTAACATCACCATTTGCCCTCTCTCCCTTCCCACTGTTTGTTCTCTTTCTCCCTGTCAGTGCCAACTCCATACATTTTGTAGCATGGCAATAAAATATAACTTTTACACTGAGGCCAAGTGTGGCTTTTTGGAGGAAGTAGGGACGGGAGGATTGCCCTCTAGTTGTCCTTTTGCCACATAGGCTGTGTCATCAGGCATAAGTTACATGTGATGTAAACATGCTGGTAGGACAAGCGTGAATGTGCTCTTCAGCTTTTTGTCATGACATAACTAATTTTTTTATCTTTGGCAAATTCAAAGTTCTTGAAATACAATCAAACCTTTATTAACTGGAGTACTTAAAGAATAAGCTAATGAAGTTTGTTCTACAAGGGCTAAGCAACACATTTTTAAAATATTTATTGTAGAGTATATGAGTATACTTTACTGTCCTAAAAATTATAATATGGAAATATAACTTCATAATCGATGATGTAGCACCTTGCAATGCCTTACTGTTATTCTGGCATAAATATTCATCATGAGGTACTCAAGTTGATACTGGAAGCTGAGCTGACTATACACTGACCTTAGGCCTTCATGAAAAACTGCTTTGTTGAATAAACTCTGATCAGAGTCCTTATGGTCACTTTCCCTTTATTGCCAAAAGTAGATTGCAATAAAACCCAATAAAAGTTTGGTTGGACACACATTTAAAGTTCTACTGTATTTGTATCTCATGCATTGCTTGAAACTTCTGATGTTTTCTTAGTTTCCTGTCGCTACCTCCATTTTTAAAGTGAATATATGCTATTCTATGATGTGCTTATTTGCCAAACTTCCTGACAATTTTATCTGTGATCATTCAAATTAGTGGTCCTGAGCTCTGAGATTCCAGAGAGGCTGCAAAGCCCAGCTGAATACAGGTCATGCAAAAAATGTAGAGAAGGGACAAGGCACAAATAGTTGGGGGTGCACTGTATGCCAGACACGAGGGAACTCCTTGAGTTGGTTTTAATGTGGAACATTGCACTTTGGAAAACCAGGGCATTTGTTCTTAGATTTTCAGTCTTTGGATTATTTATTCCTTTGAAGCTTTTGCGGACTGTAGTGGCTCACATGTTCTTATTTGACAAATATTTATGAACTAGACCCTGAAGGTAGCAGTCCTTGTCCTTGAAAGAATTTGTTGTTCCACCAGCAGGCAGTGCTTTTCCTGTCTCCTAGAGAATTAAGACCTAAGACAGATACTGCATGTTATGGAGTAGCTTTGTTCTGCTATCTCTAGAATGGTACTAGCTGTAGTATATACCTTAGGACAACTGGGAAAATTGTCACTCCATGACTTCATTTAAGTGGTGTGATAAAACATACAAAGGATACACAATGTTAGGAGTGGAGGCTTTCAACTAAAGCTTGGAGGGTGTTCCTGGGTGTTTGGATGATTTTTATGGGTTACAAAAGGAGAGGAAGATGTCTTAGGGAGAAGGGAGGCAGAGAGACACAGAACACAATGTCCCATGGTGGAAGGAGGCCCCGTCTCATTGCAGCAAAGCCTACAACAGAGGCAGGGTGAGGGACAGAGAAGAGAAACGAGACAGCAAGTAGATGTAAACTTTATTTTAAATGTATTTCGTACAGGGTCTCACTATGGAGATTGGACTCATAGTGATTCTCCTGTTTTCAGCCTCCCAAGTGCTAGGATTACAAGCGGGAGCCAACCTGCCTGGTCTCAGTAGCTGTCTCAGCATGTCCTGGGGGGCGGGGCTGGCACGCCATGCCAGGCATCAAACCCCAGGCCCTGCACTGTGCCTAAGCAAGCACTTTAGTCTACTGAGCTGGCCAGTCCAAGCAAATAGATACAGAATGCCAGGCAGTTTTTGTTTGTTCTTTTTAAAAATGTAGATGAGAACTTGGAGGATTTTAAACAAAATTACTTAGGCATCAAGGTAAAGGCTATATTAAAAGACATGACATTTTGATAGGACTGGTTAGAAGACTTTTAGAAATGGGGTAATAAGATTTGAGGGTAATAAGACTTGATAAATGTCTATCTAAAAGCATTGTGAAATGAATGTTTGCTGACCGTTACTCAATAAACCACTCTTGAACTTGGCAGCTTAAGACCAAAGTCATGCTAAGAATTTGTCAGGTTGCTGCAGAGCAGGGTGGGGGGCACGGCAGAGATGGCTCCTCTCTCCGCCCGATGTCTGGCAGCTGACTGCCTCTGCCCTCACTGGACGCTTGCTGGAGGGTCCAGGGAGGCAGACGTGCTCGGCGTGCCCAGGTCTGAGCTTGAGTTCCAGTGGATTCCCCAGTTTCCTTCACAGTAGTCTTCGGGTCTTTTTTCATGTTGTCTCCTGACATGGCAGCTTAGGGGGCCCAAGAGCTCAAAGATAAGGTAAAAGTTGCTAGGTTTTTGGTTTGTTTCTAGTGTTATTTTTGAGATGTACAAGACTGAACTCAGGACCTTGGCTCTACTGTTGAGTTGTGCCCGCCCCTTGCTAGGCTTTCTTGAGGCCTAACCTCGGAACGGGCACAGTGTCAGCTCCGCTGCCTTCTACGGAACCACACACCCTGTCCAGATGTAGGGGGGTACAAGAGTATAAGCAGCAGAAATACAGTCTTCAGGCCAGCGAGGGTGCTGCACGTCTGTACTTGCAGCTACTTGGAAGAGGCTGGGGGAGAGGAGTCCTTGAGCCCAGGAGTTCAAGACCAGCCTGGGCAACGTGGTCATTCTGTCTAAAAAACAAAAAAATGTCTATACCAACAGTGGCTTGCCAGGAAAAACGAATACTTCTGCCGAGGGAACGATGAAAACGGAGAGGTCAAAAATCAGCTCCCACCTTTTAGTTTGGGTGACTGGATGTATCAGTTCTCTGAGATTAAAAATGTATTTTGAAGGGTCAGAGATACAACTCAGCAGCGTAAGCACCTGCCCAGAAGGTCCCAAGTTCAATCTCCAGTACCGCCAAAAATAAATAAATAAATACACACACACACACACACACCTTGGGATCAAAGGTTTGGGGAGGAAGATGGTGGGCTCTGTTGGGACTCTGTGAACACTCCACATGGGGTGAGCACTAGAGGTGCTTAGGTGGTTTCTGGTTTTCTGTCAGCAATAATTTCCCCAGTAACAAAGACAAGTTTTAAATTTATAGATACCTCTCTCTCTGTGTGTGTGTGTGTGTGTGTGTGTGCGTGCGTGCTGGTACTAAGGATTGAACCCAGACAGCACTGAGCCATATCATCAGCCTTTTTAAATTTTCTTTCTGACAGGGTCTCACTGAATTGCCAGATTGGCCTCACACTTGAGACCTTCCTGCCTCAGCCTCCATAGTAGCTGGGATAACAGGCATGCATCACCATACCTGGTTAGAAATGGTAAATTTTTAAAGACAGTTCTAAAGAGTAACTTACTTTATTATGACATTTCCCACAAGGCTTCAGGCAAACTAGCCACGCCCAATATACATAAATCAGATGCTGTATTCTCAAAGTGTTGGTCTGAGATAGGTAAGAATTTTTTTAAAAACCCGAAAAACGGGTTTGAAGGTGTTTGAAGCTTTTACCTAGAAATCCTGGCTGACTCGGGCTTAAATGATTCCTAAATCTGGAGCAGTGGAGCCACCCAGGAAGTATCAACAGGTTTGTAGAATGACCAGTTTACCAAGAACAGAGCAAACACCTGTAATTGCGAAGCTGGGAGATGACCTGCCTCAAGACTGCAGCCATAACACCTGATGTACTACAACCCTTCAGGAAGAATGCACAGTGTAATTGTTCTACTTTTTACCCCAAATGAGACATTAAAAGTTTACCCCAATCATGTGTATAACCTAAAAGGGTCCCAGCCAGGCATGGTGGTGCACACCTCTAATCCCCCTACTTGGAAGGCTGCACTGCTGTGAGTTAGAGGCCTGCCTAGGCTACATAGTGAGTTCAAGTTCAGCCTGGGCTACATAGTGAAACACACACACACACACACACACACACACACACACACACACACACACACAGAACACCAGAGAGAACCTCACATATTGTTTGAAATTTCACTCCCACCCCACCCACCACAGGGTCAGTATCATGCCATTTGAGGCCACCAGACCCAGAAGCCATAAACACAATCAACAAAACCAAAAGCAGCTACTGTTTCACAGAAACTGCAATTTAACAGTTAACCAACTGCCTTCACGAATACTGCAGTGGCCGACCTGAAAGACCATCTTGACCTTCCTCCTCAGAACCTGCGGATCTGTTCTTCTTGGCACACTTCACCAAGTGGCAACTGTGAGTGGTGTCTGGATGTCACCAAGTCCCCTGGCCTGCTGGCTGCTACCTGTAGGCTCTGGAGGGCCCTGACTCCGTGTGACCCCGGGCTTTGGGCCGATGACCTTCCCCGCCTAGGTGTTTGTGCTGGGTGTTCCTGAGGAAAGGTGACAAGTTCCGCAGCTGTGCCGCCTGCTGTTTGCCACTTGGGTTAATTATTTCACTCCAGGCAGTGCCCAGACCACACGTACCCCACATAACGTCATGTACTCTGCTTTCCGCATCATGCCGAGTGCACCCCGTCTAGGCTTACTGGAGTAGCTGAGAGGACAGGATGGCAGGCTGTGGGCTGAGAAGGGTGTGCTCAGAGAAGCAGACAGCAGAGAAGTATGGCAGAGCAGATCCCTAACGTCTCCCCACTTCCTACGCCCACAGCCCACCTGATACAAATCGCTGCACGTGTATAAAGAGCTGAGTGACATGTTTTGGGGAAGCTAATAAATTCAGCTAACTCATCACTCTAGAATGGCTTCCAAGGACTCCCTTCAAAGCGTGGCGCGTGCCTGTCAGCCCAGCACTCGGGGCAGTGGTAGGAGGATTTCAAGATCTGGTCCCGCTTGGACGACTCAGTGGCCCTGGCGTCAAAAAGCAAAACAGGCTGTGGACGGAGCAGTGGAGGGCCTCAGTTCAGAACCAGGAACACACACACAGCTGGAGTTCGTCCATGCTACGGGGTCGCAGAACCTGAATGTTTAATCTGAAGTGTAGGGGCCGGGGAGATGGCTCAGTAGGATAAGCGTTTGACTGGCAAACGCAAAGATCTGAGTTCAATCCCCGGTTCTGCCAAAAAAAAAAAGGCTTTCCTGGTGATTTGGGCTGGTGAGATGGCTCAGTGGTCTAAAGCACCTACTTAGAACAAGCTTAGCAAAGCACAGGGACCGCAGTTCAATCCCCCAGCACCACATGCCAACCAGCCCCGCCCCCTGGTGGGCTGAGCTGGC